TTTGCGCGGCGGCCTGTTGGCCGCGTCTGTTTTGCGCCCGCGGAGAACGGGGTGGAGCCCCCGCGGCGCGAAAGTCATCTTACGTAAAATACGCATTGTACTAAATGTTATTATATTGCATATAATATATGTAAATTATATCTTCCTAGATTGGGCTAGTTATTAGTAGCCTCGCACGCCCGAGCGAGCACGCGAAACGCGCGACGTCGGTGGCGAATCGCCGGAAGAAAAGATCCCGCTTCCTCTATCATTACGACGAGAGAAACGGTCGCAAATAACGCGAAGCGCGTCTTGCCTTATCGCCCGGAAAATCTTAAGCTTATTCTAAAATGAACGCAAAACGCAAGACGCTAAGCCGCAACGCCAGAAATCGACCAATCACAGTCAAATACGAGCAGAACGATTGTTTTGCGTCCTCTGTGGAATAAATTTAACGAAATGTGCATTGTGCACAGTGCATTGGCTAAGCATTGGTCCAAAGTTGGTTACATTAGAAATGCATTGGCCAATATTGTCCAATGTAAAGCCAATATTGGCTATGAAATAACCCATATAGCACAGAAAGATTGCAGGAAGATTGCAGAAGTGTTACATTGCAAGATTGCAATATTGCAGCAACGTTGAAATGTCCGCCCTCAGAGAGATTGCAGTGCAACATTATAGCAATGTTGCAGTGCAATATTTTTGGAATAATTCGTTGTTGTTGTACATAAGCAGAGAATTTACTAATTACATATGCATCCGGGCCTTTTTCAATACACAGCAAGCTATTGCGAAGCAACCTAAAGGCCGAATCAGACTAGCAATTGCTGACTCGGATTGGATTGCGATTGGCGCTTGACGATTGTCCACCAGCCAATGAGAGTCGATTAAATCGCTGGCTGCTTCGCTCTCATTGGCTAGAAGATAATCGATAATCGTCAATCGCAATCCAGTCCGGGTCGACAGTTGCTAGTCTGATTCGGTCTTAAGGAGATTATGTCGCTTCGCAATAGATGGAGATTGCGAGCAACACCGCACTGATCAAGTACTTAATAATTCGCGTATTATTGGTATCAACGAAAATGACATTATAAAATTCTCGTAATTAGGAAAAATTTTTTAATAGAAAATATAGTATTTTCATTATTTTTGAAACATTACCGCAATATTGCTATCGAAAGTTTGCAATTTTATATCCCTGCAATGTCTCTGCAAGATTGCAACGTTTCTGCAATGTAACTGCAACCATCTGTGCTGCATGGGAAATATTGCACGACAATAATTATATAATATTAGATTTATATTGGAAGTGCATTAGCCAATATTTAACAATGTAATAACAATATTGGTCTAATAGCCATGCAATGTTAGACCAATGTTGCTAAACAGACATATCGGCTAAATAAGAGAAGGCGTCCATCTCACAGCATCGGACCAATATTGGGAATACTAGATTTACATTATTTCCCAATATTACGCCAATATATTGTGCCACTAGGGGCAACCTCGCGTTTCGACCACGGTCGGGTGATATCGATACCGTCCCGTACCGATATGACCCGCGTAACTTTCCTTTTGACATAACGATTGCGACTTATTGGCAGCGAGATGCGCGATATACGCGAGCGCAATTACGAAGTCGCTTCACGACCGCCCCGTCGATCTCGTCCCGCCTGGAAAAATTGCGGCAATCGGCCGGCGAGGCCTGAAATCTACGGGAGCGATCCGTGCGGGGCGATCGGCGCGGCGATTCCATGCAATACGCTCTATTTGATATCACGAATACGCGAAGCGTCCGTTTGCGTTTCGTACGTAACGACGCGGTTGCGCAACGTGCCAGCAGAATCGCCCGCAGGAAAACCATTAATGGATTTCGAACGAGGCAGAGTGCCTAAGCCAGACTTCCTGGTGGGAAAGTTATATACTTTTTTTCCCCTTTTTATTTTTGCAACCGGCATAATGCTGCGAGTGCGGCGCGAATTTTTTCTTCACGTCGCCGCGTAACAGAGGAGGACTCTGGTATTGATAAATGACAGGGGGGGGGGGAGGAGGAGTCCGGTATCGATAAATCGCACGTGAAGACGAGGCCTGTCGATGCCCGGGCGCGTAATAAATGATATTTTACGCATGTGAAGTGACCCCGAGGCTCTTCGGCGCGCGAGCGGCGCGAAGGTGAAATCTTTGACTCGGTGGAACGTCGACCTCCTTGCCGGCGAAAATTGTACGTCCCCGAGAATGGTCCCCGAGTAAATCTCAATTAATCTAAGTCGGCTGCTACCTCATCCGTAGTAATGAATACAACCGTGCATTATATCCTCTCTACCGTGCAAATGGCTCGCGATGATTACTACTGCGTGTATAAATGCGGAAAGAAAGCGGGCTTTCCGTGACGCCGGCTTTTTGCAAATCTTCCCGATAGCGTATCGTAAAATTGCGCGGATAGTAATCTTCAATTTGTCGCTTAATAATAATAAACCGCTCAGACCGTTTTTTTGTTGCACCTGGCGTATTTTTCCGCCTGCAAATCCCTCGAACGGCTACCGTATATTTAGCGAGGAATTACCGTCCGGCCCGGTTCGCCGTGCTCGTCCATCACCGGCGTATCCGTCTCTTTTAACAAGCTACAAACACGTTGGACAACGCACTCGAGGCCTGTCCCGATCGTGCGGCAAGTAACAGAAATCGCGCATTCTCGAGACACAGTGAAAGTAACCGATTCGATTATCTCCTCGAAGACAAAAAAAAATCGAAAAGACAGCTGCCGCTGACATCGTATCGGAAGAAAGTCAAAGTAATACCATCGTGCGGCCCGGGTAACGACTCTCGCAGTTTCACGCTTCTTCGCGTCTCTCTTGTACGGTAAAAAAAGAGTCAAAAATACTTTCCATTTATGGCGAGCTTCCAATTAAAATTAATTCGACGTTGCACAATTGAATCAGCGATCCGAGAGGGGATGTTTTTTTGCCAAAATTGAATTAACAATGGACTCTCGAGTAAACCCAAAATGTTGAAAAAAATTATTTTCAATGAAAACTCACTTTGAGGATCCCTCAAAATAAGTTTTAGTAAAACGTACCGTAACATTTCGAAAAACTCTCGTAAGATTGCTCGAAACGCCGTGTTGTCCCACGATTGTGATTTTCAGGATAAATTTTAAAGAGAAAATTCTTCTCAAAATTTTTTAATCAGAATTCTTCGATGTCACCAGCAGTAATTGACAACGTCAGTGTTTTTCTTGACCATACCTGGCGTCTTTAATAGTAGAGAAAATTTGTCCCACGATTACATCATGTAATCGTGGGACCACACGGCATTTCGAAGACTTTTGAGAGTTTTGTGAAATTTTGCCATACATTGTACTAGCAAAATGTGTGATAAAGTGTCCAAAACCTCCAATAAAATTCTTCGAAATGCCACGTTGTCCCACGACATTACACGATTTCCAGGGTAAATTTTAGGAAAACGCTCTCCTTCCTTTTCTCTGTTCTAACCGATTCAATTGTAGAAGGAAAAGAATTATATTTGTGCGAAGCGGTTTCGCAACCGTCCAAATAAATTTTCTCAGAAGCGGAGCCTCGACGAGGGACTTCCTTGTGCATTTCCGTTTGTTCCCTTACGGAATTATCGTTTATACAACCGTTTATACAACATTATACCGATTACAGAACACTCTGTACGTGTCGGACGATAATCGCGGTCTCGCTTCCCGATCGTCTGGCGGCGATGCAACCGGCGCATCTCCCGGCGGTGGAGCATGCCGTTGGTGAAAGGCAGGCCGCGTTGTCATGCACTTCGCGGGAGCGACAGTAACCCTGAGGAAGAAAGTCAGAGTGAGAAGCTACGCAGGTGGCGAACGCGAGCGCGCACGAGCGAACCGGGTTTCGCGGCGCGCAGGCGAAATTGTTCTCACGTGCATTACGAAACCGCGCTTTTCCGCGTTGCTGCATCGTGAGACGCGACGATATGAGATGAGAAAGGCATTTCTCCGTCCCCACCGCGTCGCCGCGCTCTGGGAACAGAGATCGTCCGGTTTTTGTATGCGATTTGCAGCGCGAGATACCGGCGCTAATTCATCCTCAAACGATCGGAGACGGGTACCCGTTGATTATGTTGCTCATTGTTAGCAGCTTCTCGAGATTGCAGTTACACTTCTTAGATAATGGACATGTATCTATTATCCCGAGATGTTTTCAAATTAAGAATGAGAAGTTTCTCGAGAAAATGGTTTTAATAAGCGTAGCATTAATAATGTCCCTTTCGGGACAACAATGCTGTAACCAGAAGCGGTAGAAAGTCGATTCCCCTTGCGGTAGTGATCGTTTAAAAGATCCCGATAATAATTAGCGAGAAAGTCATCATCGGTTGTACGTCGCGTGTCATCGGACATTCTCCGATTACGTATAAGCGTTTACGTTCGCCAATGATACTCACTGTCATTAATTTTTTTTTCTTTACGTCACATACATTTACATTTAAATCAATGACTTTACTCCGTTGACCACAGACGGGGGGGGGGGGGATTTCGCTGGATCAGTTTCGCCTTGCCGGTAAATCTCATTGAAAATCTCGCGAACGTTTCTCCGTATAAAAAAAATTGATTGGCAAAATTTTGTCGCACAAACTTGGGTTTTACGTCAATTGTATTAGATATAGGGAGCGACTTTTGTATTCCGTAGGAAGATTACTTCAGGTTTGCCTCCTGTTAAAATTCATTGAATTGCATTACGTTTCGTTCTACTCCTCGCCGCCCCGCATTCGCTATGAAGCATGAATCCCCTCCTAACTGAAGATGGTACACGCAGAGTTGGGACCCCCGTATGGCACCGTGGCACTCTTTGTACCCCTCCTCGAAATATCTCTATGTCTAGAGGATCTAGGCGTCTATAGGCAGAGGAGCACTCGCTATAAAAGCCCCGTATGTCACGACGAATCCGTCAGAAGAGTGACGAACCGTAAAAAAAGACGGTGGTCCTTGCCAGCCTTTTCACACGGTGGGCGACGGTATCCTCGTGGGGAAAATGCGATTTATTCTGGTCAGTGTTCATCGCCGCTCGTTGCCCCGTGCTTTTCATCCTTCGCGATTTCGATCATGTGTCAGTGCTGGTCTGTGATGTATGTGACAACTCCTTTTTGGACGGGAAGTGACGATATTGTCGATACGAGATCGCCCGCAGCTCATCGTAGGCTCATTTTAGACTCGCGGTCGACGTGTCGCGCGACGCGCCTTTGTGCCCGGTTATCTCTTTGTCTCTAGCTTCGTCCAGTGAAATGTGAAGTGCTTTCTTAGAATACATATCGTGAAACAGGGTTGGGAAAATTACTTTAGTAATTCGTTACCGTCACTCAAAAACTAACGAGTTACAATTAATTTACTTTTTCCTTGACATTAGTACAATTGAATACAAGTTTCTGCAGTAAATAAACAGAAGGTGTAAGTTAAATTATATCCTCTGGTAAAAGGATAAGGTTCAAGTTCGATATATACTAATCTATACACGGAGAGAGTTTTCTTTTAAAATTTATCCTGAAAATCATGTAATCGTGAGACAACATGGCATTTTGAGGAACTTTATGAGAGTTTTTGAAATTCTTTAAAATGCCATGTTGTCCCACGATTGCATGATTTTTAGGATGAATTTTAAGAGAAAATTCTCTCCATGTATAGATTAGTATAATATATATCGAACTTGTACCTTATCCTTTTACTAGAGGATAAAAATCATGCAAACGCGGGACAACGTGGCATTTTGAAAAATTTCAAAAAACTCATAAAATTCTTAAAAATGCCACGTTGTCCCACAATTACATGATTTTCAGGATAAATTTTAAGAGAACATTCTCTCCGTGTATAGATTAGTATATATCGAACTTGTACCTTATCCTTTTACTAGAGGATAAAAATCATGCAAACGCGGGACAACGTGGATTTTGAAGAATTTCAAAAAACTCTCATAAAGTCCTTCAAAATGCCACGTTGTCCCACGATTGCATGATTTTTAGGATAAATTTTAAAAGAAAATTCTCTCCGTGTACGATCTAACTTTATATATTATTCTATAACTGCACTAGGTATATTGAACACATGTATAATTTGTACTATGATTGGTCTTTACACTTTTTAGCCAGCGAGGAACTACAGACAAGAACCAGTCATTAAAGATCACCGAACTGCTTTGTTTTCTGCGTGCAACTCTAACGAAAAGTTCACGCGCGGTAAAGTAACGATGAAAGTAATTGCTAAAATCGTTACCGCTACCGAACAAATGTAACTACGTAACCACGAACGTTACAAATGAGCAAATGTAACGTCGTTACCAAGAAAAAAAAGTAATTGTAACGGTTACGACGTTACGAGTAACGCGTTACTTCCCAACCTTGTCACGAATCTTCTATAACCTTCGATAAAGTCGGGAGATTTCCGTAGACTCTCACGTTGCTGCTTATTTTCGTCTCATAATATCGACAGTATTCTACCAAAGTATTATGCATCGCTGGGGAAAAGTTTATCTTTCGGAGTATACCTTGCAGATTTACAATTGGAGAAAAGATTTATTAGAGGAATTTACTTAGAATTAGAGGAAGATTCTTTTATCAGAGGAAAGCCCTCTATTATAAGATAGGTTTCTAATATGAGATAGCAGGTTTTCAACATCCAAATTCCATCGCAAATCTTATATCGCAACGATTACACGATCTAACAATGAATTTTCCACTAAACAGATTTCGCCCTCCAAGGGCAACAAATTCATGGTGAGATCAACTGATGACCGATCAACAGAACAGAAGCCCAGCTATCTCATATTAGGGTTCTATCTTACAATAAGGGACTTCCCTCTATATAAGAAACGTAATGCTTCGAGTATCTTGAAATTACATTAACGTTAAAGTATGTGGATGAAAATACGTAAAGTTTTTTAGAATTGTTAGGCGAATTGGCATCATTGCAACTAACAATAAGATTACATCGCGAGGTCAATATTGGGTGACCGTTGTGGAAAACTGCAAAACACTTTCCGCGTTTCGTGGAAGCGATATTTACTGGTAATGCTACGTTGGCGGTTTATTCTTATACCGACCGCGAAAGGGAAGTACGGAAAGCACGTTCGCCGCGACGGGTTTAAGGCTAAGGCTATCGAGACGGTAGCGTGGCAACGTTAACGTAAACGGGTACAAAGTAGCCGGTAAATCACTGCCATTTTCCAATGGCAATTGCTTTAAGTGGGCACTCTTGTCACTTTTCACTGCGCGGGAATGGAAAGTTCTGCAAACAGCAGCCGTACGGGGAATACGATGCTGATCGAATGTCGCGCGCGAAATTCGACAGGGTCAACGACGAGACGTTACAAAGTCTAGCGATCGAGTCAATGCCGTCGGCGTTCTCTCTATCTGGAGAGTGCTCCGTTCCCTCGCCTTTTTAATTTCTCTCTCCTCACAGTTACACGACGTATCGCTGCCTTAATACAATATTCAGATAATTTATTAATTACAACAATATTTGGAAGAATCGTACACTGTGAAAAAAGTATGTAAGATACATAATAATTGCGATTACACTATTAATAACGGAAGTACATAAATTTATGTACTTTTGCAAAACATTTTTTTACTCCTTGTTGTGTAAATACTTGTTTATACATGACGAAAAATTACAAAGGATTGTAAAATTTGCACAATTGAAAGCAAGCGGTTTACTTATTACATAATTGTTTACTCACAAGGTGTAAATTTACTGACGTACGTGAATACACACCTTTAATAGACGGTTCCAACATTACACTATAATAATTGTAATTTTAGATGTAATTTTTTTACAGTCCCGGGAAAAAGTGAAGAAAAATCCCATTACATATGTCTCCATCATGTAATATCTAATTATGTCTCACGAGATCCAATTCTAAAATTCAGCAGAGCTTCAGAGATTCGACACTTTTCTTAAATGTTCAACGTTATCTATCGAGACCTAACTAAATCTAATTAAATGTTCTATTAGGCATTTAATTGGATCTCAATAGACATAACTTTGAATATTCAAAAAAAGCATCAGTTCTCGGAAGATTTGACGATTTTAGAATTGGATATAATTAGATATTACATGACTGAGACATATACAGGGTGAGTCTTTCCATATCCGACAAAATTTTTGAGAAGGTAGAACGGATCGAGATGAACGGTAAAGTCCTGTACCATTTTGCAATTTTCGTAATAGTTAACGAGTAATTAATTATTAAAAATCGTTGTCTTAGGCCGGCCTACCGCCCAATTCGAGCGCGTGGCAAGATGTGACCGCCCGGCGATCGATATTGCTATGCGCACATCTCGCCACGCGCTCGAATTGGGCGGTAGGCCGACCTAAGACAACGATTTTTCATAATTAATTACTCGTTAACTATTACGAAAATTGCAAAATGGTAC